ATCCCACCCCCCTTTTCTGTTTTTGTTTCCGTCCCCCCCCCCCCCCCCCCCAAAAAAAAAAAAAACAACACATGAGAAAGATTCCAACTGTTAATACTGATCTGAGAATCCTGAGATTAATTTACTGTCAGTCACAAAAATATTCAGGAACTGTCAATGATTTAAGGAATTTAGATAACAATTTGAATACTCTGTTTTATTTCAGCACCACTTTCCATTTATTGAAAAAACATGATAATTTAAGCGACATTTCTGTCAACCTTTTCCTACTGATTACAAAACTTAACAGAATATTAAGGCACCCTATTGAAATCACCTCTAACTGCTGTGATACAGTTGAGCGTCTCTTGAGTGTTTAACACATTTACAAGGAGATTACCATTGAGTGCATACATTTTAGCATGAAATTATCCATGAATGTAATTGCCGATTTTCCCCGTTTAACTGTAGGTTATTTTTATTAACACTTCAATGCCATGAAAAACGTCTGCAACAGAATGGCTTCTTCCCTTCCTCCCAGCACACTGCAGCTGGGTGTACACACCCTGAATGCAGTGGGTGTCACCACAGGTCAAAAACTACAAAGTACTCTTCGCTAAGCTGGTTTGAGAAAGAAACTGCTAAACTGAATTTTTCTAGATACCTTTCATATTTTCTCCTTGTCCTCAAATCACACGCATATAATGCTAATTTAATTGTTAACTGACACATCATGACTTATAGTAAAATCAATGATGTTTACATCATTAACTCTGGAGCCAACAGTGCCTTCTAAGACACTTAAATTCTTCATTATGAACTCATGAATCAATTTTTCATGTTACATAACAAAATAAATAATAAATAATTATATTAATCTTTTATAATTTTTTATTCCAATTGTATTTACATTCATGCATATAGAGTTAAGAAGTTTTGGTGCAAATATTTAGTAAGTTCTGGAAATTTGGGGTGTTTCCACAGAAGCAGAAATTATGTAGAAAGAAGAAAAGGACTAATAGTGGAGAAGAGGTCAGAAAGATAAGTGTAACACACACAAGAAGCAGTGATAAAGACTGATGAAAGTAGATGTGATCCTTAAGATAACAGATCTCAGATTTTGAGCAAAACTCTGTTCCTCAAACCCAACAGCCTTCTTAAGCTTTAATTTGCTTGTTGAGGAGTTGTAGAAGTGGATGCAAAGTAGCATATAAATTATTGAACACCTTTGTGAATAAAATAATTGAAAGCACACTAGTCTGCTGGGCTCTCTACAGGAAAAAAAAACATGCTTCTAAGACTGTTACAGAGTGTAGACATTCGAACTTCACTAGGATGAAAAGCACTGCTTTGCAAAACTGAACGTCTGTAAGACCATGGAATAATTCACCTGATATAAGCACCCAATATTTTTTAAGTCATAGCTATGAGTGTTTTATCAACACTAGTGTTGATAAACAGTGAACAACAGTGTTTTATCAATATCTAAAATGAGTGAACTCATTTCACCAAATATATCTCAGAATGCATTTATGTTAATCTCTACGAGAGAGGAGAAAAGGAGAAAGGAAATATCTAAAACACTGAAAGTAACAACAAAAGAGAACAAAAATAAACTTAGCTAGATGTTGGCTTTCAACAGCAGAACACAAATTACAGACCATTTTTTAATAGCAAATAGATGACAAAGGTGTATCTTCTGCCTGAATGTTACTATTGCTATTGTTACCACAAAAAAAATATCAAATACATACTTCCCAATGTTTTGTTTTCTTGTAGCCTGCAGCTATACTGAGCACTTTAAGTATTTTGCAATTTGTGGCTAGTCTCTTCTCTCATTTTCATACCAAGCTCATCATTTTCAAACAAAAGCCAGCAGAATAGGGTATTTATTCACTGGAAATATCAAGTGATTCTCAGATAGCTAGAACTAGATGATTTTAATGGTCTAAACCCAAACCATTCTATGATTCTGTAGTTCTGAAAAAGGAAAACAAACCAGAGAAAGCTACTAAAAAATTTCCATCACAATGGCAAGCTCCTAAGGTAAGAGCTATGTCTCTTCCTGTGGCTTGTGTGGCAAATTGAAAGATCAGATAATAACAAAGTAACTTAAAACCTTTTCTGAATACTTCTAGCGTTCTGCATGCAGCGATATACTCTAACAAGATTACAGAAAAGAAACAAACCAACAATCAACCAAGTATTATATATTTCTGAAGGTTTTAGGTCTTGTACCTGCACTTAAGATATTTAGAGCACTCAAGTATAAATATATGCTCAGAACAACCTACGGTAGTGCTCACAATGGCTTGGCTAAACTTTGGTCTTAATGATCAAATTGTTTAAGCATTTATGCAGGTTCTGTAAGATGTCCACTTCTTAGGGTCTCTCAGCCTCCTTATGAATCTTCACTGCAGTCTCCAGCTCTTTTTACATGAGCTTAAAATGCCTTGAAGCAGTAAAAATAAAATAAACATTTAAGAAAAGAGCCATATCTAATTCCAGAACTTCTATTTAAGTATTTGATTCTCTTTTGTATGGAATTATTTCAAAAGTAAATAAATAAATAAATCTGAAATGAACAGCCTGCGGTTTGTCCCTAAAACATTATTCCAACTCTGTCCACAACTGACATCTCACTAAACAAAATGGCTCGTGTACAAACTATACATGAACACAGACATGACAATTTAGCACTGTGTTTGAAATTTTCAGGAGAAAGCCCAGGAGACAAGCCCACGTTATTTGCTATGGTTTGCAATGAATTTAGTTCATTTTTAAGCAAGTATTGGGTCATGTTGCATGGTAGATTACCTTTTTCTTTCTAATGTTGGTAGCATCTGGTTAATGAACAATTCAAATACACTGGGGATATGCTAAATTACTGAGAAAGAAGCTGCATATAGGAGTGCTCTAATTTCCTCAGAAGAAGTTCTATTAATGTGAGAAAACGGTAATTACCCTCATAGCACAGAATCATCAGCATCTACACTTGAGTAGTTATAAGACAATTCAGAGCTTAAAAAGCAGTCAGACTTGAACAGTCAAGACAGCATTCATCGTGCAACTCTGTTTGGGGTTCAGACCTAAGTTGAACAAGCGAAAACAAAGGCAATAATATATCTTAAAATATTTCAAAATCCTGCTTTACTACCTCTAAAGGAAGATATGTCACTACAGTTGCTCTAAGATATCTATCACCACCTCATATTAATAAAAAAAATAAGCAAGCTGAAATTTGGTGTTGATTGGAATAAAACTTCCTCCACATAGGCAATCTAAAGATAAATATTTAGTTTCTCTCTGAAGTCATGCCATAAGGATAGATAGCTTGAAATGGCAATTCCTTCTATTCATGTGATGTCTATTTTAAGACAGAACAAATGCTCCTCCACAGATGACTGCTCACTGACAAGACAGAAATACCAGAAAATTAGCACAAGACAAATGTACAATATTTATACTGCTAAGTCAGATACGCATTTAACATTGATGGTGAAAATTCTAATGGTTATGGACTATTAGTTCTAGCAACGGATGTTAAAGCCCTAATGCAAGATTAGTTTGTTGGGGTTTTTTGTTTGTTTGTTTGGTTTTAACTTGAAGTAAAGCTCCACCACCATTTCTGTAGATATTTAGCTTCCAGATGGCTGGAAACATTCTCAAAGGCAGTTCACTTAATTGTAGTATACAGTTCATAATGGGGAGCAGATAGCCACTTTAAGGATGTACAACTAATACTGAAGCATCATCATATTTTTACTTAATGAACCTCTTCCCTCGTGTTGCCAATTTCTGGTGTCTATCTTTGGAATGCAATGGAAAAAAAGAATCATGCTTGCCATGACAAATGTGTTGTGGGAAAGCTTTGGTCACCATTTCAAAGAAAGTAAATTTTAGTTTTATCTACCGCTACCACAATAATGGAGAAAAACAGACAAACATCCATGACTACTGTACTGATTCTAGAAACAATTCATTTAAAGAAGCAAATTTATTGACAATGCATTCTCTCTGAAACCCAATTTTATTTACTTACTTTTAAAAATATTTTAGAGCTACACTCATACTCAACGGCACTCAGCTTCCACTCCGTTTGCATCGTTAGTCTATATAAGGCACTGAGAAAATACAAAGTATTATCTGATTCTTGACCAATTTTATACCAACATCATTCACATTTTACAAGAGCTATAAAAATACCGTAAATAAAAACATTTAAAACTAATTCACTGTTGCACATCCACTTGCTTGGAAACCAAACTTGGTGTTAATTTGCACCAGCCATACATTTTTATTGTTTGCACTTTCACTTCTCACATCACACTGATGTTTCTTTTCCTATTTTTCTATTCAGTGGCTGAATTGCTTTGGGGGCAGGTCATACTTGAATCAGTACGAAAAGAAATCTTAACCAACAGAGCCACAAAGGTAAGCATATATACAGTATCAAAAATTAATATTTATGTTAACAAAGTAATTAAAAAAAAGAAAAAGCCCTCTGAAAAAATCTAATGCCGAGGTTCAGCTCAGTAGTAATTAGCAAAACGCATCTGACGCTTTCCTGGCTCAGCAGACCAACTAGGATGCCTGGCCATCACTATGAAATGTACAAGAAGCAATAATGATTTAAGATAATCATTCTATTCATCACCCATCATCTGCTAATACATAACACCATGACCTGCTATACAGTACAGGTCATTACATGGGTTCATCCTTTTATTTCTCTCTAACTTGACTTCCTTCTTCAAATTTTATGACTTCTAAATCTTTCTTCTGAAACATTTATTCCTGCTACACGTGTACAGCTTTTATTTTTTATATATTTGCACACACACATGATTAAAGAGTGCTTCTGGTTGCCTCTTCGGCAGGAAAGATTTACTATGATTAATACATGCATGTATTAAATCATAACTGGAAAAATTTTGCTAATTATCTTCATTAGTTTTAGAGTTTGGTTTTCACAGAACCCTAGAAACTCTCTCCCCCTCCTTGAAACACTTTCACCTCAAGAGCTATAGTACAGAGAGCTGCAGTGAACCTAGCTGTCTATATTTGATGGTTGCAGAAATCAAAACAATTTAAATATGCATCCACTTTACTTCCATTTGGCAGCTACCAACTAAATATATCACCTTATAAAACGATTATATTTACATTTCCAAAAGTTATTGCCTGAACAGAAAATAAACTGCAATTTTTGCATTTTGATTGCTTACATTATCATTCCCCTCTTAATAGTGATATTAGACTTAATAATGGAACAATATATACAAGTACATTAAATATACTTTGTTCTGAGAACAAAATAGCTCAGAAGAAATCATTACTTTAAAAAGCATGTATCTGGCAGCATTGCTAAAAAACTTCCAGCAGAGGTTCCCAATAAGTCTAACACTTGAATTAATGTCAGGAAGGGAGGGGCTGATTTTCAGGAGAGATAATGAACACTACATTCCTTGGCCTTCTTAAGAAATAAGACCTCTTTCAGGTCCTTGCAAACCCAGGTGTTATGTGCTGTGTTCCCCAACTTGTAACCCCATCTTAGAGACAAACAATTATAATAAAAAAAATAATTAAGAGATGTAACATAAGGCTGCAGAACTATAGTCAAAGAGCTATCATGCTAGATAATCTTATCCAGTCAGATGTCACTTGATTTTTATGAACATTATGAAGACATATGAGAAAAAGATATAGTCAGAATGGTGAGAGATGCTCTATAAAAGCAATTGGAAAGAGCTGTTACAAAAAGAAAACCAGAATAACCCAGGCAAAACTCTGTATTACTACAAATTTTGTTGTTCTTCTGGTTTACATTTAGGATTAAAAGAGGATGCAAACCAATGCACATGAACTCTGGTGTGCAATCAAGTAGAACAGGGCATACTAATTTCTTCCCAGCCACATGGAAGTGCTTTTGGAGTTGGTTTAGAGAGCACAATTATATAATTTATTCCAATGCCACAACAACAACAAAAAAACCCACAAATACTAGGAAAAAAAAATAACACACTTCATCAGTGACAGAAATTGCAAACTCATTCTTTTAAGTCTGTTTTATACATCAATGAAATAAAAAAATAATATTAGGAATGGCACTGAAATAGAAAAAAAACTTTCAGCAATTGGTTCTTAAGGTATCCGGGGCACAGTTGCCCGCAGTGTGCACATACACTATCCAGCACAACCTTTATAAATGATCTCTAGTTTATACTTCAAGTCTGTGAAAAATAATCTTCCTCTCAATGACATCCATTTTTCCTAGGTTTAACAAAATATATCTAAAAGATGAATGGACTTCCTTTTTCAAATTATTCTCAAAATTACAGCGATTCTCCAGTACAGAAGAGCAGTCACTTTGATAGAAACATACAGCAGCCACAAACTTACTTTAATCTCCTGATTTGATCTTCATAACCTTCACATCAAAATAGTAGGTAAATACCAGTGAATATAACTCCTTGCTGCCAGTTCTGAGCTCCTAACTCAATTCACGCTCATTCTCAGTCATATTTTAACTCAATCCTACACCCACAGCAGCACAGTGGAAATTTGGGATTAGTATCAGTGTTAAGCGCTGGACCACATAAAATTATATTGAGAAAAAGGAGAGAACTGCAGACAGCCAGAATACAACTGCAGATGAGTAAGAGAAAAGAAATGAAAAAATAAGAAAACACCCAATATCACATAGTTGAGTTCAAAGCAGCTCCTTTTTTGTCGCTACCTCACACCTATTTGCCATACATTCCTAGAAGTGCTCTCCCCACAGTTTTTTTCCATGGAGTACAAATTAACTTGAAGCTGCTCTGTTTCTTTTGGCACCAACCCTATACAGTCCCAGCCCAGTTATAGCTTGAGCTGAGAAACAGGAAACTGCACAATGCAATGCCACAGCATCAAGCAGGTAATGGGACAGAAATTCCAGATCTCCATGGCCAAAAAAAAAAGTACAAAGACACTTACAAAGGGATCAATCAGAATTTTGTTGGCATGTCCCAGTTAAAACAATTTTTAGTTTTTCATAGAATCACTGAATATCCTAAGCTGGAAGATTCCCACAAGGATCATCAAATCCAACTCTATTTTTACTCAGAAAAAAACTATATGTATTCTTAATTCTTCTTAAACAAGAGAAAAACTATATGTTTTCTAAATTCTTCTTGACCAAGAGAAAAAATTTCCTTATGAAATAGAACAAAGTGAACATAGAAGAGGATTGAACTGCCACAGTTAAATCCAAGTAAAATCCATGTAAAGCAGTCAACATGACAGCGTGTTCTTGCTGTCCATTTAAGTCAAAACGCACTGACACTTGCAAATAGACATTTAGTGACCTTCAGAAAGAACAAAATTTAAAACATTATATTGACCATCAGACAAGATTCAAAAGAGTGAATTCAGTTTGATAAATCTAGACTTAAGGAAGAAAAAGTACATCTCCTTTTAGTTCACTTCCTCTTCCTTCAGTTATTCATATAAAGGATAATGAATTCTCAATCTCATCCTTAGAGGCTCTATCAATAACACTGCAGACAAACTCAATTAGCATTTAAAGGCTACAACCTCCTTGAATTGCTTTGAGATTCTTTTGAGCTCATCTCCCAGCTAGACAATGTACTGAGACTGATTTAGCCCACCCTTTTTGAAATATTGCTGCTATTTTGCCCTTAATATATCATGAACAAAAGCATGCCTTCATTCTGATAGAGGACCACAATGAAGTTGGCATTAAGTTGAATAAATGAGAACAGATAACTACGCAATATCGAATCTGATGGTTCTGAACAGCACATTTACTTTGCGTAAACAGATTACCCATTGAAAAAAATTCCTTAAAACCATTTACTTTGTACTTTATTCAGAAGCAGTGAAATCTGAAACTATCTTCAAGTCAAACTACTATGGGAGCACTAGAAGTACTTTAAAGACTCAGAACTTCTCACTTGCTGTTGAATATTACTGTTGCTGTATATGCTTCACTTGTTCCCATATATACTTTCAGTCTCTTTTCCAAAGGCTGTTCAAACACCAACTTCAGTGCCATCCTATGAATGGCATTGGTTAATCATGCAGTGTTTGAATAAAATCTTTTCTTTCATCAGTTTTCAATTTTCCCCTTCCAGTTCCAATCAGTGTTTCATTGTTCTTCTATTCATGCTTTAAAAATATAAGTTCCCATCCCACTTTTCTTTAGAGCAATCATTACTTCGGGTAGTTTTACTGTTTCCCTCTTATTCATCTCTCCCTAAATAGTCCCACTCTTCAGGATCTCTTTTCATATGATAGTATTTTCTTCACATCCCTGTAACCCATCTCCCTCAACTGCTCTATTTTGCCAATATGTCTTTCTGATACAGCAATCAGAACCATATGCAACATCCCAGGTGAGGGTAGAACACTGACATTTTAAAAAATAAAACAGCAGCTGTAGTCATTTCAGCATTTTTCTCCTCCCATTCCTCTAGCTTTTGAATATTTGTTTTTTTTTTTTTTGGCAGCTGTTGCACAACAAATTGAAACCTGAATTTGCCTATATGCATTGATGGTGAGGTCTATTTTTGACTGGATTTTGCCAAGTTACAGCATAACACTGATTTCTAAACTTAGATATCCACATAAATGCCTAAATCTGAGCAAGTTAGAAGCTCTTCTGTAAGCAACAAATAAGTGATTTTGGGATACAGATTCAGATATCCACTCTATGAACTGAACTGCTTCCTATGACTGCAGTTCCTCCTCACCCACGCTGAGATCTTCAGTTGAAGGAAAACAACACTTTCCCAGAAGTGAACCATCTGTAGTTATAATTCCATCCATAAATATTTTTAAGCATGCATACATATTATATATACGTAATATATAAAGCAGGGGGACTTTCCTTACAGGATTGAAGCCACATCTTGGATTGATCGTTATTCTAATGTCAATTCTTAGATTTTATTCCATTCACAAATTATCACAGCTTTGTCACATTTCTCTAATAAAGTAATCAATATTTTCCTTTCAGTTCGGAAAAAAATGTTTCATTTCAGTTTGATAATTTTAAGCTTGAATTAGAGTTGACTTCTATTTTTATTTTGCTCAATTGATAATGTTTTCACAGTACAGTAAAACACCTGAATTGCAAACCAAAGAGATCAAGAGTTTCTCTGAGACAGTATCATTTAAAAGTGCTTTTTGGTCACGATTTATGCTGTTGTAAAAAAAGCAGAGGTGAGGACGGAGTTTCAGACAGGAGAAAGAAAAGACAAAAATGTAAGAGCAGAGTTTAATGAAGGAGAAAGAAAGGGGGGTGGTAAGATAAAAATGATAAATAGGAGAATGTCGTACTAAAAAAAAAAAAAAAAAAAAAAAAAAAAAAAAAGCAGCAAGCAGTAGTATACAGCTTTTGGTTAAAAAAAAAAAAAAAACTTGCCTTA